TCTGTCCTACTCTCTCTTTCTCTTGCTTGAGACCTTTCATTTTCTAGACGCTGGGTGGTTATTTTGGTTGTAGCATAGTGGATGCTGTTTAAGGATATTCCCGCTGATGGCAGATGATTGAGTGAGTTTGAAGGGACTGGTCATTCCTGCAGGCAGGGCTAACCCTAATGAAAGAAAATCATCTCTAGTTCTGGTGTAGAGTAAATTCCAAGGCCAGAGTACAGACGACTTCAGGATTTCAATCACCCACGAGGACTTCTGCACTTGGCAGTTTACTCTTGCACTGTTTCCGGGGCACTTTCAGACCATTCAAGTATCATTTGGTGAATTACTCCTTCAGGGCACTAACCGAGGGACTTTGATCTCTCTTTTTTAATCTGTAATTTTTATATGCAAATTTCAAACCTTAAAAGACAGTTTTCCAGGATGGCATCCAAGAGATCTTATAGCCTGAGGATACTAAAACTATTTCTTGGGAGAAGGATGCAACTAGAGATAAATCTCTAAGTGTGTTTCTCGGTTATGCTCTGGCTACAGGTTTTATGATCAACCCAGGCTGTTATGAAGAGACCTAAAAATCAATGCCTCTCATTTCTAATGAGACCCTTAATGCTCCACGCGGTGACAGCCAGTGTGAAATGGAATACTGACAACTCTACACAGCACAAATATTTTTGCTGTGCATTTCAATTTAAACATGTGTCAAGCCAATTACGTATTTATTGGGTTTAAAGACTATTCCACTCAAGCCTGGGAGAATACACACTCTTCAAATCTCCGTTTCATGTAAGAGGACTCGGGTACAATAGTCAAACCTCTCGCAGGTCTGTAATAAATCATCTTTGCAACCATAAGCATGTACAGTTGACTGCTTACCACTGCTCCGCAGACCCACCCCCACCTGGTAGAATTTTAATTCCCTCAGTAAAATTGATTTCACCAGTTCTGCACATTATTCTCCCTGTCTTCCATTTAGCCCGTTAGTTTGCTGACAGTAGAGTACACAGCACTTAGCAGCTGGTTTGTGGAGCTATCAGTCAGGAAATTGTATGATAAATAGGAGGTAGCCAGGTTTTGTGGCACTTCCTTCTGCTTCAGCAGTTTTTGCCTGACTTTGGAGAAGTCATCATGTGGTGTTTTGTCAAGGGCCGGGGCAGGAGATGGCTGCGGCGCGGTAACTTATTACACATACGCTTGAGTTATGATGCGTCACAGCTGCGCTGCTCATGTGTAAATAATAACCCGTGAGCTGGGTAATTATGGTGGCTCTGGCGACAAGGGCCTGTTCTCGTCATGTGGGCTTTCTTGGACAGCATTTTGGGACGGTGATGGAATGTGCTGCTGAGCCACATAGAAACGACAAGCTGAGACGCCAGCAAGGCAAGTACTCAACATTTGAGGATTCAGGAGCGTTTTTCGAGAAACGTGTTAGGATTGATGTCATGGGATGCCACGTATGTTACAGGACATGCTCATACTGCTTTTCATTCTTCATTTATCCTGTCAAGCTATGGTCGAGCACGTCTTGAATTGAAAGAGGGGTGTTCCGTTGCATTTTCCCAGAAAGTGGCTTAAGAGGTGTGATTTCTACCAATAACCAACACAAGGCGTAATTGTCCACACAGACTTCAGCAATCCAGGAAAAGTTATTTTAAATTTAATCAAGAGGGGAAATGTAGAAACAGTGAAACGCTTTAACCAAAACCAGATGTCTGGTCAAATCAGATCATATCCATTAATTTTCTGTTCTTTATTTAAACCTAATTGTCGAATGCAGAATTCATAAATTTCATTGGGACGTAAATAAACATCTGGTGCAAACAGTGTTATAGGATGCATCACATACTTTCAGTCAGGATTAACTTTTCAATTCGCAAAACACCATGGACTCAACAGTGAGAAATGACTACTTAGTGCCTCAGTAATTGTGTTTTATATTTCCCTCTCAGATTTATTTTTGCAGTACTAGGTCATCTTCTACTTCTTTCTGAAAGAGGGAGAAAGGGTGAGAGAGAGAGAGAATTTGAATCCTGAAAGAATAATTTCTCGAAAATGAGAAGGTGGCAATGTCTTTTAAATGTTCATGACAGCATTGTAGGTTTTCCTTGAGGAAGAGAATTTTATATTTGTTGGGTACACGCTTTTCATTTTATGGGGTTAATTGGTTGGTCTTCACTCCATACACGTAATCACTGGAACTTCACTATAAATACTCATATAAAAGATAATGACCGCTACTTCCTGGGTATGTGAGGCATATATTAAATGTGGAATAAATTAACACATTTTGAGCCCTATGTGTATGAAAAACATGGATTTGTACTTTGTCATAATTCCTAGTTTCACCCACATAGAGAAAACCAGGTACAGTTAACACCCACTTATCTGGTGGAGAGAATTTCATCATGCAGAACACAGCCAAGCTCCATGAAGTAAAGGAGTGAAAATACCTTCCAACTCAGACATAGTTGTCCATGTCCCTCAAAGCAGATGCATAAACTGGTGCATGTGAGATGCCCTGAGGAAGTAGCTAAGACTTTATGAATGTTGAATTCACACCCCGATCTAGTGGGTTTATTTCTCTGATTTCCAAGAGCAGATGATGTGTATTAAGTAAGAAGTCTACAGGCCATGCAGGTTTGCATCAGCAGCGATAGCTCAAAGGTGTGGAAGAGAAAGAGCCATCCCCGTATTTCATGGCCATCCACCCTCACCAGATTTCAATCTGATTGATTTGGGTTTGTTTTAAAGTTTAAAGTCAGGAAACATTCACTAGTATATTCAGGCTTTCAAACTAGTGCAAACGATGACCCCGCTTGATTTTATGTAGTTTTAAGAAAGATGAATAATTTCCTTTGAAAATGGTTAAGTAAGATGGAATCTTTGGTTCTACAGAGAGTGGTTTTGAATTGTCGTGATGGCTGAGTTATGTGCAGCAATGAAGCTCCCAACATTGCTGAATAAAGATTCAACTTAAACTTTCAAACTTAGCAAATCAACTTTCAATATTTGCATTACAAGAATAATACCTACATCCTTTCATATTATGTACTAAGTGGTGAACTTAAAATATAATCAATTTTTATGTGGATTTCATAAAATGTATAAAGTGTGATAAATGATCAGGTCATTAGTCATCCCTCACCTGTTGAATTTTCAGCGTCGTTGTATATCACAGTACTACAGTGACAATGATACAAGATCAAAGTGATTCCTTCCTCTCTCCACACCACCCAACCCCTCCTCCCCAGTCTTATGACAGTCACAGAGTACAGTGAGTAATTGACATTTTCAGTATAATAGCCCTCTTGGAAGTTTTCTAGATTCTTGATCTGGTGGTAAACTGTAGAATTAATACAGCTTTGGGTCCTTCCCTGGTAGACCGTAGAGCTTCTATTAATCTATGCTCATCATTTTTTAGTCTTACTTGATTTTTTTTCTTCATAAATAGTCTTAGATTCTTGAAGGCAGCAACAACAAAATCAAAACAAGGGAAGTAATGTGTTATAATTTTAAAAACATGTTTGTTATGCTTATATTCTAGCAGTTTCTTGTTGAAGAAAATTTGGAAATAGAGTAATGGATAGGGAAGGCAATCAAAACCACCTGAATTCAACATTACACACATCTAAGAATCATCCACTCCACCCAGTTGGGACAGTGGTGTTGCTGACCTCAGGGGGTACAGCCACCTCCTAATGTGTTTGTTTGGCATGGCCTCCCAGCCTCCTGCACCCCGTGGGGATGCTCTGTGCATTCTTAAGTGGTCCATCAGAACCTGTCTGCGGAGAGGGCCCCCCTTGGAATCGCCTTTAGAGCCTGCTACCCCAGCACTAGGGTGAAATAACTGGGAGCCATTCTGAGGCTTGTTGGTGTACACATCAGTCCTCTCTGGGCAGGCTCCCAGCATGACCAGTGTGGACCCATCACATTTGAAGAACATGTCCTGGTATGTTTGCTGTCGTATTCATCTCATAGCCATGGAGTCAAACCTCCGGGTTTTGGATCCATTCATTTTGCTTCTTGAAACTTGGGAAAACCTTGACTCTTCGTTCATGCTTCTAATTATAAAATCTGTTAAAACTCTTCAGTTTTTACAGTGAATTACTACTTTTTTTAAGAAAAGTAATTTATTTTCAGAGACAATGGGTGCGAGTTTCTAGGACTAAGTGGGGACGGGGGAACTATTTTTAAGGAAGAGCACACACCCAGGAGCTCAGGAACCCGGAGCGGTGGACTGGGGAAAGGCAGAAACAGGAGGGGGGCTGGGGTTAAGGTGACTGTTAATGCTATCTTGGGAGGAATTCCCTGAATTTTGTTCTAGACCTCTCTCCATGTGAGTTTGAGTGGGTCAGCTCATCTCTTCCAGGAGGCTGCACAGCACTTCTCTGGCCAGGGCATAGATTTGCTGCCTTTGTGTAGGGGTCGTGGAGGCCTAACCCAGGCCAAGAAGGAGGGGAATATGCATTTAAGTTAAAAAAAAAAAAGGAAGCATGTGTACGTGCATATATATATCAGCCACAGATTCTAGCGAGCCTTTCCATTCTTAAAAGCATCATGAGCATGGGAGAAATGAAACTAGTATTTGTATGACAATGTCTTTGTCGTCTAAAACTTGACAATATAATTTCATTTTTCAAGTAAGTGTGTTCTAATTTGTTCCTCTTGGCTTTGTGTCTCCCTTCAGCCCTTCTCCTCTCGTCAGCCTATCTTTCAAGATAGGGAGCCGTGTTGTTCTTCTCTTGCTTTCCCGTCTGGGTGTTAGTTGCAGTCACAGGCTCTACCTTCTCAGGAAGGTGCAGGCTCTACTTACTCAGTCATATTTCTGTAGGACCCCACATAGCCTTGTAACTAACCTTGAAGAGTTCTTCCACAAATTCTTAGATTAAGTGTAAGTAGTGAAGGTATAATAGTACAGCAGTGTTGCTTTGTGAATCAGAATGCTGCTTGGAAGTGTTCATTTGATACAGATTGGGCTCTTTTTTTTTTTTTTTTTCCAGATCCCCCTCATCTTTTCCCTGCCTTCCATCCTCCTGTACCAATTGATGCCAGACATCACGAGGGCCGTTACCATTACGATCCCTCTCCGATTCCTCCATTGCATATGTAAGTATTAACACTTTCCTCATTAATGAAATGAAACAAGATACTGGCTTTTACCATCTCAGGACTTTTTGTTAATGGCACATCCACTGGGTTTTGAAGATGTGATAGAAGTGTAAGATTTACTTTTGAAATATAGCAAGCCTGTCAGTTCGTGGATTCACTGAAGCAAATCCCTGCCGCTTCCTGAGGAATGCCTGTCACACTACGTAACCGACAGATATTTCCTATATATTTTGCTGACGTGGGTTCTGTGGGCTGTAAATACTAAATTAAAAAGTAAAAGCCTAATGGAAAGTTACCCTCAGAATATGTATTTGGTTGACATTAGATTTGAAGTTTTTTTATGTTAAAATTTCTGTAACGTGAAAGTCCTTTTCTAGGGATCACAATGAATTCGAATGAAATTTTTATGGTAAATTTTCATAACCCCTATGTAAGTACACCAAAAGTCACTTGATTGATGGGAATGTCACCCAAACAAAATGGCAAATCTGATCGAGCACATGGTTTATAGAAAGATAGAAGGAAAGAATGCTGTTGATAACATACATTAGGAAAGGAAAAAAGAAAATCTCTTGGAAATAAATACAATCTTACTTGGTTTGGAGGAAGTAAAGGATGGTGGACTTGCAAAATAAAATAGTATTCTTTTGTAGTACTGTCTAGGAAACTGTCATGTACTATAACAATTGGAGCCACTCTCTGGGATGGGCTGTCCCTTGCCAACAGCCTTGATATATACATTTAGTCAAATCTAATAATCACCATTATTCTGAGACAGTAAAGTTAGAAAAGCACAAATAATACTTTGAAGAATAATGCTGGTTATTCAGATGGTAGATCGCATCTCCATGGCTATTAGTTACAGCTGTGTAATTACATATTATGCCAAAGAAAAATGAAGTTGTTTTAAAACAAGTCCTCCTCTGTGAACAGAATTAATTGATATTAACAATCCTAACTACATGTCCAAGTACACATATAATATTTTACCAACAGTTTTTTGGATCCATCTCCCATTACTGGATTGTAATTTCAGGGCAGATTTGCCTGGAGGTAAGTAATAAATCTGTGTTGCAGACTTCTATAAGCATTAAAGGAGAAGTGGGTATTTATAGAGAGAGAATGCAGAAACTTGTGACTTATTCTTTGACTTTTCACTGGAACACAAGTAAGTATTTACAGGGTTCTGAAGCCTGCTAAAAATACTCTCAAATAAAACCAAGAGACCAATTAAAAATTCCCTATACAAAGGGAAGGAAATTCCAAGTTCAGCCTGAAACATGACATGTAATTCACCCCGTTATACAGAGGTTTTATGGTACAGATGTGACCACATGCATCTCAGATGAGGCTCTGCCCCGTGGTTCAGAGCATGCAAGGGCCAGATAGGCCTTGGAGACATGGATGGCTAATTCCTCCCAGACTGGAGCCTCTGTGATGTAGTTAATTTAAATCAGATTTTTCTATGGAATTTTGGAGTTCTTCATTCTTTCAGAAACGATGCTGTAGAGAAATGTTTTAAATGAGTTTATATGATAGGCTGAACTATTTCCTCTGCATTCATTATAGTTTTTCTTGTAATGAAATTCAAATATGAATTCATCAATACAAATTTCATGTCTTGGTTCTGTGGTGTAATATAACAGCAAACTCTCCTGTGGCCCCCACTATGTGTTCTGAGCCCTGCTTGCTGACCTGTGTTGGCCCATGATGTTAATATCACAAGACAAGGCAGGTCGCATCTGGACCATCCTCATAGGGGGAGTTGGGGAGTCACATTTCCGGTGTGACTGTTGAGCTGGGTTTTCTTTGGATTTTAGTTCTTCCTGCCTTTTGAGCCAAGCTTTGGATACTTTAGCAGCATCTGACTAAATTATTCTCTAGTAGCCTAAATGTATAATTATCAAAAAGATTCATAACGTAAAGCTGATAGTTAATCCTGAGCCTCAAAAGAGAAGTCCTGGAAGGTTCCTAGAGGGAATATTATTGCTACGGGCAAGAGAATGGTGAGCTTATAGGTTTGTGGCCTCCTGGGACTGCCTGGTTTTGGTGCATCCTGGCAAGGCCCTGGGTGGACCCTATGCTTATGAAGTGGGCCCCAGGAAGCTGGACATGTCACGCCCCTGGGTCTTTGTGATGTGACATTCTCTCTGCATTGGTCTCAGTGGCCTTCCTTCTGCATGGTGAACTCCTGCTTATAGTCATCCTCAAGGACTAATTCAAGGGCCATCCCAGAGACTGTTTTTATAGCATCTTATATGTAGCTTTATTGTGGTGCTTTTCCTCTTGCTTGGCGATTTATTGTTAGCAGTCACTGCTTCCTGCTAGTTTTGTAGGCAGTACCCTGCACTTGGTCAGACACTTTGTAAAAGGTGCTCAGTGGACACTCACATTGGCCCAGTCTGGGAGATGGGGGAGGAGCAGTCAGAGAGCTCCAATTCCTGTTCTTGTGTTGCCACTCACTTGTGCTGTGAACTCTGGCCACTGACATTTGCACGTGCAGGTTTCATTACATGGAAATGAAGCTATCTGCTGTACCCAGCTCTTCAGAGCACAGGGAGAGTTGAGTGAAATAATGTTCATGTAAGCACTCTGAAAAGCACAGAGCTCTAAACAAATGCTGAGGGTTGGCATTCCAGACACTTGGGGGCATGAAAAATACTGGGAGTTTCTATTCTGCCCTTGCTCAGTTATGAGTCCCTGGGTTACTCTTGCACCTTCTGAGGTATGATAAGCAGACACCTGTGATCACCTTGAAAGTGGAGGCTAATCTAGGCAAATGTGACTTGGTTATAGAAATCTTAAAAGCACGTATTTGCTGAGGGGTAAATCAATTACCTAGGAAAGTAAAATCACTTCATCCAGAACTTGAATTCCAAACTGTTTGCTATATATTTGTCTTACAGAAAATGAGATCAAATGAAGAGTACTGTTTTTGCAATAAATATTTTAATTATAAGAAGACAAAGTTTGGAGATATTCTCATTATTTTGTATACACAATTGTTCTTCTGGTGCCAGCTTTAAAAATTAAATTACGAGCCTCTTAAAAACAAGGATTTGTGTTGATGGAAATGCAGACAGATCTCTATTTAGAAGAAGGGCGGGCGCTTCTATAATTATGCTATCATATCCTATCATTAAAGAGTCTATTGAAAGAGGTTTATAAATTGCTCCTCTTTTTAGATAAACCACCCTATATTAAGGCATCAACGATATGGTGCAGAATTAAATTAAAATCTCATAAAATGAAATATGTTCTGTATTAGCTGTTTGACACTTAATTTGCCTCTGAATGAGTAGAGGAAATCACAAATTAACCTGCCTTTGTTTTTCCAACCATGGCTTATTAGGTGTTAGAACAACTGCAATTACAGCCTAATAATAACCGCTATGCCTTATAAATATGTACGGAAATACGTCAGTTTGTATTAAAGAGCCCAGTTTGTTAAATGGAATGCCTTTAGCTTGCCCTGCTTATCCTTACAGTGTTATCCACAGTTTATGGTTAGGCAGTGTAGAATGAGTATAGAAACTTGAATGGATTAAATACAGCACTAGAAATAATATTATAATTTATTCACACTTTGTTTCTTAACTCAAAATTATGAATTTAGACTCAGAACTTCTAAGTAGGACCTGAAATATAAATATTTTCGTTCCCTGAGTTGTCACGTAAAGGTCGTCTTATAGAATGTGCAGTTCCTGCATTGCATTTGTTTAATTCAAGTAATTTGAAAATTAAGAAACATTGGATATGAGGAAGCTTCCCTTTTCTTCTGAAAGTTATTCACTGAATTCACCAGGTCTTAGGCCCAGTAGACAACAGAAGTGTTGCTCTCTCTCCCTCTCTCAAATCATTTGAGAGATTTGTTAAGGTTAATCTCAAGAAGTAGAATGTTTTAGAAAAAATATCAGAGTGAGTCTGCTTTATTACCGAGATTATTTTGTGCATTGATGAAAGAACCTGAGTCTCTGCACACATAGTCGTATTTTGTATATGTATTTTTACCTCTTGGTCTCCTCTGTGGTTCCTGCCTTGCATTGTTGGCATCAGGGCTGGTCCTTTCCTAACTCAAGGAGGCACTATTGTAGTCTATGGGAACAAATGATGCCTGCTAGGATAAAAATAAGTACTAATTTTTAAAATTTTACTTGGAAATTCAGGCAATTGGCATATTATTGCCTACTACCCCAGAATACAATGGCATTTTCAAGTGACTACTTTCCACAGTAATAATGAAAATACTTTCTCTCTTGCATTTTGAGTGTGCGTTTTTTGTTTCTTAGTGTTAGAACTCAATTAAGCATGCGTCCTTTTTAGAAGTAGACGTGGTGTATTTGTGGAAACCCAAATTATAAAGTAGCTTTAAATTACATTTGATTTCATTCATTCTGGATTTTTCTTGGGAAAAAGAAATTTAGCCCTTACGTACAACCTTTCTGAGCCAAGGTTTTCTCATTTATGGACCAGTATGAATTGAATTTTGAACTGTCCTTCTGTTTCATACTGAGATCTGCAATTCATTTTCCAAAGCTGGGTCCTTGGTTACTAATCCATTGCAGTAATTAAGCCCCACCGATCTTGCCCGTCGAGCTGTGAGCTGCCCCTGCTTTGTGCCGTGGATGTGAACAGTACTGCACCCCAAGCCAGCTCACACAGAGGCTGTGGCATTTCACCATCCACTTTACTAATCCACTTTCGAAAACCAGCTTTTCTTCTTAGGGAAAATGAGCACTCATGTTCTGTTCTGTTCTGTCAGCTCTTTTTTTTTTTTTCTTTGTTGAACCAATGTGGCTCCTTCCAAGGCTGCCTAACACTCTCTGGACTCATTCCACCTAAGTAAGGAGAGCTGTTCTTCCCACTAAAAGTGGCCCACCTCCCTTCACCTCTGGGAGAGGACTCAGTACATGAAGATCATTAATATCAGCTGTGAAATAGAGTGCACTGGAAATAGGTAAGGCCTCGCCCCCATAATTATGGCTGCCTGTTCGGAATGAGAGCAGGGAGATGAGAGGCAAGTTTGGAGTATGAATAAATACACTTCTTCCCAGAGAGAAAAAGCTCTAAGAAAAGACATATCATTATGGTAAAAGCTTAGAGAAGTAAATAGTAAGTAGATGGCCAAGGCTACTACTGAGTTCCCCTCTCCCAAATTTAGCACATTGCTTGTCCTGGTACTGTCTTTACTGAGAGCTCATATACTTATTCCAAGGGAGCCTCTTCAGTGTAGCCACTTACTTAAAACTCTGTATTGGGCCTGTACAGGTAATAGTGATTTCTTTCGTTTCATTTTCAGGAAAGTTTCCAGTAAAATATGGAGATTTAGTAAAACCTTATAATTATACTTGGGGGCATAACTAGTTTGGAATATTTTAGTAGTGTAGCTTAAAATTAACAAAGGAAAGTTCTTTTCACCCCCAGTATTTGTACTTTACCATAAACATTATGGAGATTAATGAAGTGTAATGACATATCAAATTACAAACTCTAGCAAATACTGCAGCAAATATTAACGCACTCCCCACCCTCCCAAAAAAGAAAAAGAAAACATGAACTAAATTATAATTATATCTCTCAGGGTGAAGACTATCTGTGTATTTCTTTGCATTTACTGTACTAGGCTGAGCCCATGCTCTACATATAGTAGCTCCTAAATAAATATTATTTTTAATGATGGTGAAAATAATAGGTCACTGCTATTACCATCATTTTCTTTTGTTTTTGCTTGAGTGTGTCACCCACCTCATGCCAACAAGCTAGGATTCAAAAAACAAAAGCTCAGTGACTACTTTTGATAGAAGAGATTCTATTAAAAGTAGCTATTGCCCTGTCAGATGCTCTCCACTGTCAAATGGATTTCCTGATATTAAAGCAGTTACTGGTCCCCTTATGTGACTGAGTACTATTTAATGTATTGCTGCTTTCCAGATCCTACACATGGAATAAAAATGAATGAAATTAGCCATCTTAAATGAACAATTTAAGTACACAACAATATCAAAGATAAGGGCAAAAAAGAAATGGATAATTCAGATGGAAAAATGTATAATCATGACCATAGCTGACGTTTTTGAGTACTTACTATAGGCTGAGCACAATGTTAAAGACTTTATGTAGTCATCTCCTGTAATACTTGTAACAACTCTGTGCTGGAGTTATTACTATTAGTTTCATTTTAAAGATACGGAAATCTTGACACAGAGGAGCTACCTAGCTTACAAGTAGGTAGTGCCATTGTGTTAACCCAGGCGTCAGACTCCATACCAGTGAAAATGAAGACCACAGGCATGGCTGCGCTAGTTTCTACTTCCTGGTTGAGCACAACTATTTCTAACAGCACCTGATAGGAAGTTTTAAGTGTTACTGGCTGTCATTGTCTTCTGCACATTCCCAAGGTCAAATATGACAGGGCGTGGGAAGAGCCATTAAAAGCCATGTTCAGGCCTTTTGCCCTAATATGCCTGTTGATTAGCCCAAAAATGAGAAGCTTATTAGTCTTTGACTGTAGAATGTATGACACTAAACAACAGAGCAGTTTACATGTTCAGCCACAGGAGTGGTTTGGTAAATTGTGACTCATCACCTGGGTGGAGTGTTGACCAGTACTTAACAATCACATTTGAGAAGACTCTATTAGAACATTGGGTGGATAATAATTAGTGATTATAACGGTAGACCCAATAGAAGGGAAGCCATGTTGGACTAGATCACAATGTGTATCTGCCTGGAGCCTTCTTTCTTCAGATACCTATGGCTTGCTCCCTCCCTTCATACATTTCCCTGCTCAGTTTCTCCTTCTCAGAGAGGTCCTCTATGAACAACTATTTAAAACAGGGATTGGCAAACTATGGTCTACGGGCCACTTATGGTTCATGACCTGTTTTTGCCAATAAAGTTTTATTGGAACACAGTGACTCTCCTTGTTTAGTATTATCTGTGGCAGCTTTAGCAATACCAGGGAAGAGTTGAGTAACTGTGACAGAGAATATAACCTGAAATGCCTGAAAGATAAAGTTTGCCAACCCTTGGTCTAAAATAACACCCCTTCTGCATCCTCACTCTGTACTTCCTTCTCTGCTTTATTTTTCTTTTTCTATGAGCAATGCCATGTGTCATGTTTTCTACTTTTATGCTTTTCTACTGCTATTCTTCACATATTTCACTGTATATCATGTCAAACCAAAAAATAAGATAAGCCTTATTTTCTGGTTGTCATTTCTCATGATTAACTGAAAAAGTTTAAGGCCTGCCTAATTTTCAAGAACTACCTTTGGCCACCTAGATCATAGTTCCCTCATAGATATGAAAAGATGGTTGAGTTTCACTTCCCAAATTTCTAAAATTTTGATGAACTGGCACATAAATCCAAATCCACCAATACACGCTTTACTTTGCATTAAGAAACAACCACAAAACAGGTAAATTGTACTCAAAGGGCAGATACTCCTTTCTGTTTTGCAGTATTTCTAATGACTGAAATATTGAATTTGGTCCTTAGTTGCAGAGAAAGCAGGCCCTAATTATAGTGTATATTCAGAGAGTCTGAGTGCTAGCTTCTTGGATAAAATTCCTGTGTTCTTTGTGCTGCGCTCAGCAGCACGGTCCTGGGAGCAGATATTGACTGAGGTATTCACGTTCACTGAACCGGAAGCCGCCGACTCTATAGAGGCTGCTGTCAAACCTGTTGCGGGGGCCTGGGAGGTACTGGGCTGTAACAGACTTTTTTCTTTGAGTACAATGCTTCCACTCATGTTAAGCCTGGCTTCAAAGAAAACAGAAATTTACTGTCGTCATTTTATTTATTTTTTAAAAATATGTGTTTGAGAAAATCGAGCTTTAACAGAATTTGTCCGATGGGAAGATACTTTGAGGTTAGTTTTATATGACGAATACTCCCCAAACTGAAGCTGCCTGCAGCCCTTCCTATGTGGCTATCTCTCCCTCACTTAGGTAACAGAGCCGCACTTTTTTCACCTAAACAAAGACATGCCATTTCCTATAGCCACACTGCAAGCTGAGTTCATTTCAGACCTTTCCCCGGGGAACAAAGGCCAATGACACAGGGCTGCCTGTCACTCATTGTTGTTATTGTTACATCCCCATCCCTGCCCCAGGGAAAATCATACATCAGAAAATAAAATGTTAGCAGATACGTTTCCAGGAACCTGCTTGCTAACTTTTTGAATATTAAGTAACACATTACCAAGATTTTTGCATCTCCAGTGATCCAAGCAAACTAAACACACTAAAAGGAAAACGGAGGAGAGAGGTGGATTTGAACCTCATCCTCAGAGTCCTGAGAAAAAGTAGGTAACTTGTACGGAAACACGTTTGAAAAATGCAATCTTGGCCATTTTTAGTTTTGATGTGGTCTTTGTAAAAGGCAGACCAGAGCAGAAATGTGCATGATTATGTTGCAGTTCAGTACAAATTAACAAGGTAAATGGCTTGCTGGCCCGTGTTTGTCTCCTGTGCTGACCTAGCTAATTTGGTGACATTGCATCAATTTTTATAACTGTTGAAAAACATCAAGTGCAGTGCTAGAAATATACTCTGCCTCTTCTCTCTTGTGTGTGCACATGTACGTGCAGGAAGAAAATAATGCAGGGAGAATGGTCAGAGTGGCAGGAACTGCCTTATAGCATGTGAGTGCATTTCCAATGAAGATCCAAGTGAGAGTCTGCAACCCAAAGCCATAGGTTTTCTACAATCCCATCACCTAATATTTTGGCATATGCAGCATTTCGCATGTTTGTAAGTGACAGATATTTAAAACTTCCTTATGCAACTACAGGGAGGTTACAGATTCACTAAAAAGAAGTTCTCAGTTGAGACTCTTACAGGGAACAGAAGCCTAGCCCCAGACTAAAAATCTGAACTAATACCAAAATGAATTGTGTATACATTTGCCCTTGAAGGCACTCTCTCTCTTTTTTTTTTTTTTAAAGGTTCACCTGTACCCTCATTGCCAGGCATTACTTGTCAATTGTTCCCAAGGAGCCCCGTGCATACCATGGCCAAGTCCAGTACGGCCTGGATAGCCAGAGCCCAGCCGAAGGGAGTTATATTAACTGGACACAGTAAATGATTCCCTCAGGCCTTACAAGGTTAATATGTCTTCATTATCTGGGAACGAGTTATAGGTGAAACATGAAAACTGCCAATATTATTGTAAATACATTCAAAGAGTATCCAAATATTGCCAAGCTCACCGTAAGTGAATAGTATCTCTATCACCTGTTGGGGAGTGGGAGAGGGAAGCTCTAGGAGTTAAACTAATTGCCTCATTTGCAAAACAAATCACCAAACCATGTTGCTTGAATATGCTTTACATTTTTAAGATAGCATGGAAATAAACATTTCTAGTTTACTAAAATGCTTCTTGCTTCTGTTCAAAGCAATGTCTGGTTCCCCCACGGAGCAAAATCCCCGTATTCCTAGTGCCCATTGTTGTCACCATATACTATGCACTCTAGGGAAAGTTTTCAGGAACAAATTTAGAACTGTAAGTCAGTAACATAAGCAATCAGCCCTCTAAAGGGGACTCTGATTTTTCATATGTTATTTGCCAGGGATATAACAGATTAATAGTAGAATGATGTTAGATTATGTTAATGTTTTTATTACTTACCATGTTGTATTTATTTAAAGTAAGTGTCTTATGTTATTTTATATATCTTACTGTGTTACTATATATGTGTATGTACCCCTACAGCGCTCACTTCTGTCTGTGTTCCTTGTAGTACTCTAAGCCTGTCCTTGGGATTAGTCAACAAAAGACAGCATGGTCTTCCATCTTAAAGGAAGCAGCCAAGAGGGGAAAAAGAAGGTCAGCCTCAAGTATTTTAATCTTGTTTTAATGATCAAAGTCATTTCAGGGCTGCAGTGATACATGTAGTCATCGGATTGAGAGAAGAATAGTCCAAGTCAAGAGTCCACTGGAAATAGAATTGTGAGGCTGGAGCTGAGAGCAGAGGTGCAACCTTCTTCAGAAAGCCATGCTAGACTCCATTCTGCACAATTGCGGATGTTGTATACTGTTTGTGAGAGAGAATTTTCAAAGTGTAAATCCTTGAGCATTTCTGGAGTCTCTCTTCATCTTCTGGAATGTAGGGAGCAGGCGGTGGGACTGTGACCCAGGTGGTGGGTGCACTTCCAAAGGCCTTTTCGTGATCTGAAGTGCAATCCAGAGGTGCACTGCACCATATTTAATTTGTGTTAACCTCCCCACCTTTCCCCATCTTTAACCCAGACAAACAGGACTTCTTAGTTACTTAGGTTATTATTAGTGGCCGTTTCTTGGTGTTTGTTGGTGGAGGGAGTTGAGTTGGAAGTTCGGAGTTGTGCAAGTTGAATTGGAAGGAGCGAAAAGTAGAGTCCACCCCCTTCCCCCTGCGTGTATTGGAGAGAAACATCCTTCCTTGGTCTGTTTGCTTTGCAAGGGTGTCCTTTGATGAGGTCTTTGTCCTAGGCACCCACTGAAGTCTCAGTGTACTCAAGCTTTAGAAAAGCCTATTGGCCCTTCTTTGTTTTCTTTGTTGAACTGTTTATTTTGCTTTCTTCCCATGAGGTTCCCTGGCCTTGCTCTGACAACGCTTTTCTGCATGAATTACATTCCTCCGAGCCACAAGTCTCCTAATTCTTCCAGTCCATTTGATTCCGGCCTGCGTGATTAGTCCATGGCTTCGATCCGCTGTGGGTCTCTGCCAAGCAGAGTACTTGCTAAGTGCCCCTAACGTGGAGATGTAAAGACATTTTTTAACCTCATTAGTGAGGAGAGTAGTGCTTCATTCTAGTTTAATAACGTGGCTACTCTTGAATCATTACTAGCCTTAAAATCAGTGAAGGAGGCTACTAAGTCATTTGGTTTTCTTTCAGTGTGAATAATGCCGTTGAAGGAGGGTAGCTCAGGCTGTTACGCTCAAGCCCAAGTTAGTAACATAAATCATCCAGTGTAGGTGAGAGGGGAGCCCACTAGCTCCATTTGAGTTAAATTTACATATCTAAAGAATGTCAGTTTAATTTGCACAAAATGCATTGCTATATGTATAGAAATAATGAACAACAAAAACAAAATTATTCTAGTATCTTATAACCATTACATTTTCTTGTACCTATGTTATTTTTTGAAGTATGGTTTATGACTGGGACAGAAAGGAACAAGTTATAAATTATGAACAATGTTTTCTACCCTCTACTAACAAAGAGTAAATATTTTATTCTCTAATGCATTGTACCCTCAATGTAGATATTGGTAAAACATTGTGATATCTCTTAACAAAATTCAGCTGACTTAAAAGCAAAATTCTTATAAAGGGTCCGGTCAGCTGTTTTTGCTTGCCTTTTTTGTGCATGAGAATCTCGACTCTAATAAGCAGGTGGGGTGGATTGTAGCTAACCCAGGGTCTGCATTTATTGATAGTGTACCTGGGAAAAGTTTTAATAATAATTTGGGGCTTCCAAAAAGAGGACCAAAAAATTTGTCTGGAATGATTGAACACACAGTCTGTGATGAAAATGATACAATATAAATACTTATTTTTAACACAGAAGCTCTTCCTTAAAGAACTGGAGAAGCACCAAGCAGTGTGGTCAGGGCCTGGTTTCAGTGGTATCCTCTTCTCTTGCTGGGCCTGGCTGAATGAGGCTCTTGGTATTTGGCATCTGTGAGCCCCCAATGTGGCTGTGCATCACTGGGGCACAGACTGTTGTGAGGGTCTCTGCCAGTGTTCCATTTAGCAAATAAACACTTCACTGCAGGATCAAGCTGCTTCTTCACAGAGGGAGGATTTATCATGAAGATGAGAGTTAAACCTCTTTTGGCTAGAAGAGGCACTTCCTGCTTGGAGTTGGCTCTGCAAACAGATCCCCCAGTGAGCTGAAATGTAGCTTCCATAATACTTCCTGTGTAACACAACTAAACATCCCTCATGGATGGGACTGGATTATGGGTTTGCTGAATAGTTCCTCTGAGCACACGCCTTCCCCACCCAATAATACGTTGGTTACATTCACGCATGACAATGCTATTTGCTTGGGTTTCAAAGTGTAATTCCAGAAGACTCAAATATAGTGCTGTTGGCACATGGCTTCTGACGATCCTCTTTGTAAAACTAGTTAATCAGTTGTTTTCATAATAACCGTAGACCTCAGTGAGGTTCCATTCTCAACTCTGCTGCAAGTTAACCGGATCCTTGAGCAGTTTCCTTCACTTCTGCAGACCTTGTACAAAATAAAATAGTTGGATTAAATGATCCTTAAGATCCCTTCTAGTTCTTAACATCTCATAATTAGGGAAAATTTAAATTTGTTCATTGTTTTTTTCTAGTGTGTGGACAGTTCCAAGGGGATTCCATTAAAATGCTATAGCCCTAACACATGCATGCCCACATGCCATTTTTTTTTCCTCCTAAGCCGTAAAGTTTCTTGCCTGTTCTTTCCTTATGTGAAGCTCTGCTGAAAAAGTCTTGCCTGAATGCTGGTCATACCTCCCTCATTACTCTTTATACTCTCCAAGTGACGCTTTGTGTATACCACAGCCACCAGCGTGACCTACCATGACACTACAATTTGAATGTCAATTTAAATAGGTTCCTTTTGGAAGGTAAGGTAGCTAGAATAACCATATCATCCTTTTCTATTAAATACATCAATAATGCTAAACATACAAGTGTATTTAAGCATATATATACATGTGTATTTGGTTTGGGGTAGTTTTTCTTTGTGTTTAAAAGCATAGACTTAAACTCATAGACCAAGTTTGAATTCAGCTCAGATATTTACTGTCAGATTACTTAATCTGTCCAAGCCAGTTTCATCATTCAATCCCATTTTATATCAAGGATTCAGCAAAGGATCATATATATAGCACTTAACGTGGTGTCTGTCACAGCATAGGTATTTGACAAATGGCAGAATTGCCTGCTACATATCTATTACCATATTTAAATCATCTATTCTAAGAAGTACATCCCCTTTTCCATCTTTTAACATCTCTGAAATTGGGATGTATTTTACAATCTATAGTGTTTTACAATTGCTTATTGGTGAAGTGGCAGTCATGAGGAAGTTCCAGGTATCTTTTAATAAAATGATTTTACTTATATTTCCTTTTTTTGTGCATGTGCTAAAATGATATACGTTCAAAAAAATCTATGTCTGAATAATTCTAAAAGTGCTCTTTTAATAAGTAAAGTAAAAACCAAAAGGGATAGGGAACCATTATCTTTTTTTATTGGTATATGAAACAATTTTACATCTTTAGATCAGTAACGTCTTAGAGTTAAGGATATATAAATAGTATGTCATATATATTATGTGCATGTGTACGTATGTATTCAGTCAAAAAATTGATTCATTGTCAAGTTTTTTTCCCCTGAGAGCTCAGCCACATTTTCCTAACTGTGACAGTAATGGGCCTAGTTGCAAGAATGTAAAGTTAAAAATGTAAAGAGAATATTTTCAAAATGCTATTGCCTCCTAAACCTTACAAAATGAAAAACGAGCACTTCTTCAGCTTGGAACAGTTTATAAAGGAGGAAAGCATGTGTTGTGTGATGGTTATGCTGGTGTATTTGTGCAGATGCATAGCACAGGCTCTGAGAGGGTAAGACTTCATGATTAATGGTGTTTATTCTTGACAGAAGCCTCCTTTATTTATCTGCAATACAGTTTAGCGATTTTATCAGGCACCTGAATGAAAAATATTCAGTCATACCAATATTGCAGTGTAAATTGAGTAGAGTCACTTTTTATTATATCTTTCTGCCTTATCATCTGCACAGTAATTTTCTAGCAGAGGTTTGATATGGAAAGGCTGGATTTAGCTGTACTTGACACAAAGCCTCTTCAATTTCCCCTAAAAGTTCAGGCTGCTCTTAGAAATGTGTGTGTGTGTGTGTGTGTGTGTGTGTGTGTGTCTGTGTGTGTGTATAATATATAAACCCTCTCTCTTATCCAAGCAATTTCAGGATTTGAAAGAATAAAGATAAAATGCACAAACCTGGAAAGGAGAAATGTTGTTAATATAAAAACATCTAATAGCTGTGAACTCACTGGTAAAAGCTCCTTTAGTGTTGAAGCTTGTGGCTTAGTGCTGAACCTATTGCATGGCTATGTGGTCCCACTTTCTTCTAATCAATCACCATCCAAGTCTAATTAGCATAAAGCCAGACCCTATCATTTCTCCTGGGAGTAGTATCAAAGTTGAAGACCACAGTGGCCCAGAGAGGACATCAGTTGCTGGAATGTCCTCAAGATGCTGTTCTCAAGAAAGGAAAAAGAAGAGTTCTCATTTGTCGGATGCTCAAATGATGGATCACTAAATTGTAAACAAAAGTTTATTCAAGCAACAGACTTTATAACATGGTCAAAGCTAAGCAATGGCAGACAGGGAAAAATGGTTTGAATCATAGAAATCATTGGATTTTAGGAACAAAGGGGACTTTTAACCTTGTGAGTAGAATGGAGATCATGTACTCCAAAGTTGCTCATTTGACAGATGAAAACAGTGAAGCTCAAAAAGCTGTTTTTGATAAGACCATGGTTTTGTGCACAGGTTTTCCAAGGGCAATATGAACAAGTAATTCTTGCACATCATTTAGACATTTCCAGTCAGAATAATCTCTCCTCTCTCATGGTATCAGAAGACTTCCTTTCTCTCTGAAGAATGAACTGCAGGAGGAGAATTTGTGGCTCCTTGTCAAGTGGCCAGACTTATTTTCAGTCCTCCATGATGCTGTTCTCTATGTCTTGGGCAAAATTCCCTAAGGCCGTGATAATAAGACCCCTAAGAAAAGTATCCCTTTATGTAGAAGTTGATACTGTTTTTCTGTTGAATAATACAGACAAATAGTTCCCCAGCACACTACATGTACTCCTTTTCCATATATAATGTATTTTTGAAAAGTTAATACCCTTCAAGGGGATAAAGTTCTGAAATATTGTGAAGTATGCTGAGGACATAAAGTCTTAGTCACATAGAGTAGTCCTGCAAGCTCTACTTCCAGTTACATCCAAAGAGCCTGTCACTTCAAAAGGGCTCACTTTTCTCACCTCTGTTGGACCAATGGCCGTAGCAAACCTTGAAGATTTTATTCTGGAGAAGAGTTGTTGAGATCGTTAATGATAGTATCTTGGTTGGAGATCTCTGTATGACTTAAAATAAGGATGATTAAAAGAATGAGGGGGAAGTAGGAGAGAGATGTCAAGGTTCTAGGATAATTCAAAAAGTCTAATTAGAGGTTAACAGTAATAATAATAATTATGATGGGGATGATGATGAAACTAATATTGAAAAAGTCTTTATATGCTCGGCGAGGTGGCTTACGCCTATATTCCCAGCACTTTGGGAGGCCGAGGTGGGAGGATCATGAGGTCAGGAATTCAAGACCAGTCTGATCAATGTGGTGAAACTCCATCTCTACTAAAAATACAAAAATTAGATGGGCGTGGGGGTGCACAACTGTAGTCCCAGCTACTTGAGAGGCTGAGGCAGGAGAATCGCTTGAGCCCAGGAGGCAGAGGTTGCAGTGAGCCAAGATCATGCCAATGCACTCAAGCCTGGGAGACAGAGCGAGACTATCTTAAAAAAAAAAAAAAAAAGAAAAAGTCTTTATACTAGCTAGTAGAAGACAAGACTACTGTTGATAAAAGATTTATTCTGATTCTTGAGGTAGCCTTACCCTCTTCTTGTCTCAGAATTCTAGGTGCTTCCTGTCTTTGGTATAAATATCCTCCATAACACCTGCCCCACCAGACCCAACATTAAGCAAGGTTTAAATTGTTGGAACCTAACTTCATGTTTTCAATTAATTATATCCACCTAGTACCTGAAATCCACTGCAGGGAAAGTTCTCCCTTGAATAACAGATTCTGCCTTAGTGCTGCTGAGATTTTTAAAGTAGCTGTTTACCTTGGATTGTTGAAATTTCCATGTAAGTGATACAAGCATGAGCTGGTTTGTTTATAAATAAACATATCTAATTAATTCTCTTATATGTATGTTAGGATCATTTTTCCTTATACTTGGTGCGCGTTATGGCTTAGACTTAAAAGTTTCTGCAAAAGGAAACCATGATGGATTTGTTTCTGCATTGTTGGAAAATGTAGCACCTAGACAAACAAATGTCACTTATCCCGGGCACAGTTAGTTCATCTTAGAGGGATTTAGTTGTTTGACGAGCTATTCTTTCTACACTATTGTCTGTCAACATTTTTCTATTTTACCTTGTATATTCTTTCGGAAAGGATATT